CAAGGACAACTTAACACATTCACGAAAAATATTTACACAATCTATTTGTAGGAACAAGATATTGGACAGTCATCAACTTAATTTTCTAAAAAGAAGTTTAACCCATATTGTTAGGAAATAAATCTTTTGTCAAACTCATATTTTTATACAAATTTAATCAAATTTGGTTTGCATGATCAAAATTTAGGAATATTGGTGTTATCAAAATCATGTTCTCTAAATTTTAAATAACAATTTATTTAGTTACTTGAATATTTTACAGGGTCAAAGAATCTTTAATGATTGAATTAGAAAATTGTTTCTTGAAAATGTTTCTCCTTTTTTTTTAAACATCACCTTGTCATGTTGACACGAGTATAAACTTGGATCCTCATCTCATGACATAGAACCACAAGCTTTTTGGATTTTTATTCACTCAAAAACCTCATCACACGACATAGAACCGCATGCTTTTTGGCACTTACCCAAAATAAGTCTCATCATCTGATATCGAACCAAATGCTTTTTGAACTTAAACTCACTCCAGAACTCGTTCTCACCAAGGTGTGTTTGAAAAAAAAGTTTTTAGAAAGAATTTTTAAAGAAACAATAAGTGCTCATATTTTGAAAAATAGCGGAGCAGTATCTTAAGAGATTTCTAATAAAACAATTAAAAATTATTTGACCTTACGAAATATTTTTGTACAGAATAAATTTTTACTCAAAAATTAGAGAGCATGATTTTAAAACAATTGTTAGACCAAAATTTGTCAATTTGTACTAAAAATTTTCAAAAATTTGCACAAAAATTTAAGTTTGACAAAAAATTTTTTAAGTATCCTTATTTTAGGGTAAAAGAATTCCTTTTTGAAAATTAAAATTGATGACTGTATATATAATTTTCCTACAAATATAGAGATAAATTATATTCCTAAAATGTGATTCAACCATAACTCTCTCCTCCTCACACTTTAGACGGAACCACGCCCTCGCAGGTTTTAAAGTGATCAGAAATTAGAGTTATGGTGGAAGAACGTGCATGCAAATACTAAGTTGTCCTCACACTTAAAGATAAACAATATGCTGATGTAAATAAAAGTAATTAAAAATAAAAAAGGTTTACCAAAGGTGTGTTCAAAACAAACTGAAGTTCAAACCATTCCTGAATCAAACAAACAAAACAGAAGAAACATATTAGTGCAGGGGATAAGCTCACTGCCCACGTCCTCCTCCTTGCCCGCGACCGCGCCCTCTCTGGCGAGTGGTGCTAGGGACTCCTTGCTGTGCCTCCACGTAGTCCAAGATATGGGCAATTTGCGTACCCTGTTCTGCAAGGCTAGTCTCAATGCGATGCTGATGATCCTGGATTTCCTTCCAGCAAGCCTCCTGACGTTGCTCAAAGGCGGTCCACCGCTGCTCATAAAGCTGGAAGCGTGAATCAAACGATGTCCGGAGATCACCAAAAGCAGTGGTTAGCTCCTCAAATGTATTAGGCAATGGACGTGGAACAGCAGAGGAAGAGGCTCCATCTGCGGGCATGCTCGCCGGCATGTATGAAGGACTGCCCGTGCCCGTGTCCTGATCTGGCTCGTATCTAGTGTCGCGTGGCCTCTTTCTGAATCCCATGTGGATGAGAGACTCGGAAGTGATAGGTCGTACACTAGACTCCTCGGGGAGAAGGTCTGGGATGACGATGGTAGGCACGAGGGCGCGCGCCAATAGAGTGATAATGGGTCCAGCCTGTATGTGATGGCGGTTTCCAGTCGACTGATCAAACAGGAAACGCCCAACAAAAGAGGAAAGGTCCACAGGTGTGTGGCTCTCCAGGCTCCAAACGAAGATCAGATCAGTGTCGTAAACTCTGTTGGCGTTCTTATGACGCCCAAAGTAGCTGCAGCAGAGGAGGTGACTAAGTATCCTCCACGCGGGACTCCTCCAATCGGATGATGAGCTGTATTTGTTGCTGAAGTCTCTAGTGCTACGTGAATGAGTCCTCCAAAATGCCTTGACGTCAACATCCAAAGGAAGTCAACGTGGCAGGGCAAGAAAGTGCGGTGAGCTCGTCTCCTCAAGAGTATATATCCCCAGCAGGCGTCCTAGATCAAGAACGGGAATATCAAATCTCGTCCCACGAAGCGTGAACGCCATCCGTACTGAGGGATGGACTCCCTCCACATCTCGAACTCTGCTCCCATAAACCGCGAACCTCAGCGAGTAGATGAACTCTATCGTTAGTGGCACGCTAGCTTATGCACGGAGTGAAAGCAAGCGCCTCCATTTGGGGTCATGGAGGAAGTCATCAACCTCCTCCCAATACCCCATGCTCTCCAGCGCTGCATGGTCCAATATCATCGGCGGCGTCAATACCTTCTTGCTACCCCAATCTTGATATCGATCGCGCGCCTCGGGGGTAGCAAAAGGTAAGTCTAGTCCATTAGCAGGGTAATCAGCCATCTGCACAAAATTAAACAAACATGTTAAACTTGCCCCCAAAATCTGGTGCGACAAGTATTCTTTTTTTTCTTTTCTCAAAATAAGTGTGTTAAAAATAGTAACCAGACTGATTCAGAATATTCGGGATCGGGCAGAATGCTGCCAATTAGGTGCTCTTAGGCTTACCCAAATAAACCTTTCTACAGAATGACCCAGTAGGAATGGTGGGACAAGTTCAGCTCCCGAAGGCGTCACCTGAAAATAGACTCCCCTCGTAATAGAAAAAGTAAATGCTTTTTCATAAAAGATCTTATATATGCTAGTTGGGGATCGTCCTCACTTTCATCGTTTTGCTGGTTCTCAGTTGGACTGTTTAATGTGCGCATCGTGGTATTTCTTAACGCGCTCCTTGTATAGCAGATTGTTGTGGAAAGCTAGCGTTCTCCACTCATCTAACTCATCCAACTGGTAGAATCTCTCCCTTCCTGCTGC